AACCAAGGCTTGGGGCCTAACCCTGTTCCCCTCAACTCTCAGAAGTGTCCTCACAAGTCGCAGATTCCCAAGAACCCGCTCCTTTCTCTAGGAACGGCTGGCTCTTGCGTTAACCCTTCAGTTTCCACAGCCCCGACTAGTGCTGGTTCCTGCGGCCCTTTCCTGTTTCTCGCTTCGGCTGTTCGGGCTCTCGGCCGCAGCTCACACACAACCTGTTTCCCGTCAGTAGAATCCTTGGAGGCTGGGAACGGACCTAAGAGACCCCCCAGGCGACCTCCGGGATCTGAGATGGAAAGGGCCCAGGGTACGCGCCCCACCCCCCCGCCCCGACTCCGGCTCTTCACTGTCCACGCCCCAAACTCTGTCTTTACCTAGGCGCCGCGACCACCTCGGCCCCCCTCCGAGCATCCCGCGCGGCGGCCCAGGCTCTCCCAGCCCCCTGCTTCCGGGCTTTCCCGGCACTTCTGCTTCCGGTGCTCGGCCTCTCCCCCGAGCCTGCCCCACTGGCCCGCGCCCCGGCCCCGGCCCTCCGCGCCGCTCGCTCCGGGACTCTCACCGCTCGAAGAGCAGCCGCACGGAGAATATGCCCGCCGCCACCGGGAACACCGAGAGGATGTGCTGCGCCCGGGGGTAGCCGTAGCCGTCGCCCGGCCCCTCAAGGTCGGCCCAGCTCACGTTCTGAGGCAGCCAGAAGCGTTCGCTCCACAGCCAGCCCCACAGCAGGCCCAGGGCTCCCGCCGCCGCTGTCGCCATCTTACGCCCGCCCCGCGGCTACCGCCGCCACAGCCTCAGCTGCCGCCACAGCCAACGGAACCCGCGAGGAGGCGGCCCCGGGGCGGGGCTGGACCGGCGGCCACCCCCTTCCGGCCCCTTCCCGTCCCCAGCAGGTCTCAGCCCGCCTCCTCCGTGGGGCCGGGCCTCTTCACCGCCCATCTCGGCTCCACACCCACCCACCTTCCTGACTGCGGCCCCCGGGGCCGCCTCTCCTTAGGACCCCGCCCCCGGCCTGGCCCCGCCCCGCCCCGCCCCGCCCCCATCCAGTCCCGCGGGCCTCAGCTCTGGCCCCGCCCATTTTTGGCCAAGGGTTTCGGCCACGCTTCTCCTCCTCCGCCACGGCCACACCCCTACTTCAGGCCTAGCTCCCTGAAGGAGACGCTCCTCTTTCTCAGCCCAGCGGTCCCAAAGGCTGTCCCCGCTCCCGCAGGCCGTACCTACGTCTCTGCTCCTAGCCCGTTACTGGGGCCCACCTCAGCTCAGATGGTGCCGCCTGAACTCTTCCCACCTCTACCGTTTTTTGCTCCCAGCTTTTTCCTTCCTTCGTGTCCTTCCATGATCTCAATGCCCTTTCACTGCTTTATCTCTTAAAATGGACTTTTGAAAATCCTTTTATTCTTCTCATGGGTAAAAGGAAATGGAAGATATCCAAAGGATATTATCCAAAGAAAAATACAAAGGAAAAAAAAATAAATGATGGCCAATATTTAAGGAAGCTTACTGTGCCAGGTACTGCACTGAACACTTTAACACCAGTTATTTAACTTCATCGTCCTATGAAGTAGGTATTTACTATTTTATCGATGGGTAAACTGAGGTCCAGAGAGGTTAAGCAGTTTGCTCAAGGTTATATAGAATATATATATGGTAGACCTGGGCTTCTGAGCTAGAAAGTCTTTAGACCTTGGAACCCTGAGCCCTTATCTTACAAACCTCCGTAATTTTAGGTTACCACATTAAACATTTAACTGTTTTGTGGATCTACATAAACAAGAAGGGAAGCCATAGACAAGAAACCTTCAAAAAGCTAAATTCAAAATTGTCCCTCAACTGCTGGAGATTCCTGAACCCTGAGTGCGGTCTGTTTAAACCCTGCTGTGAGGTTAATTACCACAGGCTAACTAGAATGACCTGAAAAAAAGATTAAAAGGATTGAATCTCTACCTCTTGTTCAAGGACAGATAAAGTAACTTTATAACTAGTAAGGCAAGCTTACACCAGAAGTTAGAGTTTCAAGGGGAGAGGAAGAAGGGGGGGAAAGGGTGCCATCCTAAAGTAGACTAGGTTTGCTTTAGCTCAGTGGTTCTCAAACTTAGGGTACCACAGCTTGGATATTAGCTTGTCCCATCTCTCACATGGAGAGTTTGCTAAAAGTTTTCTGGGCCCATCCAAAGAAATTTTGATTCAAGAGGTGAGACAGGGTGGGGCCTATGAATTTACATCTCTCATTTCTAACAAACTCATAGGCAGTGCCACTGCCTCTGGTCTGAGAACCACTGCTTGGAGCCATTTATTCCTAACCCAGCAATAGCTTAATGGTAACTACCCTATATTCAAGGTACATTTTTTTTTTTTTAAAGATTTTATTTATTTATTTGACAGAGAGAGAGACAGCGAGAGCAGGAACACAAGCAGGGCGAGTGGGAGAGGGAGAAGCAGGCTTCCCGCTGAGCAGGGAGCCCAATGTGGGACTCGATCCCAGGACCCTGGGATCATGACCTGAGCTGAAGGCAGACGCTTAACGACTGAGCCACCCAGGCGCCCTCAAGGTACATTTTTTAAAAAGTAAACTTGGGGGCGCCTGGATGGTTCAGTCGTTAAGTGTCTGCCAGGGTCCTGGGATCGAGCCCCGCATTGGGCTCCCTGCTCAGCGGGAAGCCTGCTTCTCCCTCTCCCATTCCCCCTGCTTGTGTTCCCTCTCTCGCTGTCTCTCTGTCAAATAAATAAATAAAATCTTAAAAAAAAAAGTAAGCTTGGGACGCCTGGGTGGGTCAGTCAGTTAAGCATCTGCCTTCGGATCAGGTCATGATCCCTGGGATAGAGTCCTGCATCAGGCTCCCTGCTCTGTGGGGGGGCCTGCTTCTCCCTCTCCCTGCCGCTCTCCCTGCTTGTGCATGTTCGCAGGCTCTCTGTCAAATAAATAAATAAATCTTAAAATAAAAGAAGTAAACTCTCCTTGATCCCATGGGAATTCAAATCAGAGTCCTGAGGAACAAAGAACATACTAACTTGGCATGCAGGAACAAGCACACAGTGATCTTGGTCTCAAGGTCTATCTCCCCAAAACCACATTTGTACCATTTCTCAACATCTTGGCTGTTAGAAAATATATAGTTGACGAAATATGTAATGAGAGCAAACTTTGTGCAGCTTTCACCTTGTCCAGGACTGATCCAACCAGCAAGCTGGTAGAACTAAGTTGGCCCAATAGTAGTCATGAAGAGTCTCCTTAACTATCTCAGGTCCCAAGCTGGCCCCTTTTCTTGCTTCACTGGCAGAAAAACACATCTTGTTGCCACCACTGACATACCAAGCCCAAACAAGTTGCCTTCAGAGAGCTGAAACATTTTGTTTGGCTATAGGTTCTTCTGTTTTCTAAGAATGTTTAGTATTATCTGGTCATTCTTTTTTTTTAAGATTTTGTTTATTTATTTGACAGTGAGAGAACACAAGCAGGGGGGAGCGGCAGGCAGAGGAAGAGGAAGAAACAGGCTTCCCGCTGAGCAGGCAGTCCAATGTGGGGCTTGATCCCAGGACTCTGGGATCATGACCTAAGCTGAAGGCAGACATTTAACAGACTGAGCCACCAAGGCACCCTTCCGGTCATTCTCCTGATAGAAACAACCTTTTATTATATTGATATGGAGCTAGTCCTTCTTTCTACTCTCTGTACCTATGTCTATCTTAGCCCTTGAAAGGCAAAGAAAATGGTTCTTCTAAGGTTAATCTCAGTCCCTGCATATCTGATTTATGGTGACATATTCAACTAATATCCATAAGTGTTGGCCATAGACACTCAGACTTTTTTGTATAAAATCAGTAGATTCAGTGAGTACCACGTAGATGGGTTGGAGTAGCAGTGAGTCACACAGTAAAGGTGGCTAAAATCAAGCCAGGATTGGATATTTTATGGATGTCATCCTGGATGAACTGTTGAGTGAACAGGGCTTTCTAAATGACTTCAGCCTGTGATGGGGCCCAGAGCAGAAAAGAGTACCCTGCCATCCATTTGGAAGACCAGGCAAGACCCTGGAACATACAGTGAGTGATCCTGGAAAATGTAACAGATGACTCAAAAAGCATGCCTATCTCCAAGGAATTCACACTCCCACACTTCCATTAAAAAAAAAAAAAAAGTGGGGCGCCTGGGTGGCTCAGTTGGTTAAGCGACTGCCTTCGGCTCAGGTCATGATCCTGGAGTCCCGGGATCGAAGTCCCGGGATCGAGTCCCACATCAGGCTCCTTGCTCAGCGGGGGGTCTGCTTCTCCCTCTGCCCTCTTCCCTCTCGTGCTCTCTGTCTCTCATTCTCTCTCAAATAAATAAAAAAAAATCTTAAAAAAAAAAAGTGTTGGGGTGCCTGGGTGGCTCAGTCGGTTAAGTGTCTGCCTTCGGCTCAGGTTATGATCCCAGGGTTCTAGGTTCGAGCCCCACATCTGCTCTGCAGAGAGCCTGCTTCTCCCTCTCCCTCGGCTGCTCCCCCTGCTTGTGCTCTCTGTTAAATAAATAAATAAAAAATATTTTTTAAAAAAGTGCTTTAGCTATTGGGGCAGTTGCCTCTACAGGCAAGGAAATCAAACAACCAACTATGCCTCTGCCCAGAGTGGAAAACAAGTCCATTTTTAAGTAGAGGCATTTGGAAATTCTCTTTAGCACATTAGGCGTAATTGCAAGGTGAATTATTAAATGTTGAATACAATTAACAATAAAAAAAAACCACTACTGGATTTTGACTTGCTAAAACAAACAGCTCATTTTGAATGTACACACTAATTTTCTTGCCAAATTGCCCTCAATTTTTAAGAAAAATTTGTCCTCCCTTAGGGCAGATGAGCACCCACGATCAACCCAACACCCCCACCTAGTGGTGAGATATACTCCTAACACTTCTCTTCACTTAAAATGCACCAGACCCATTTGCCTTTTCTTCCCAAACTGCTCAGGTAAAAGGAGGTCCTGGGAGACTGTCACGATGTAAAATAATAATGGAAAAGGAACACTGAAAAGGTCAAATGTAAATTAAAAGCTTTATTGAATAAAAATGTTTCAGACTAAGCAAGACTGTAAGAAAGCAGAATATTTTACATCTCTAAAAAATATTAGGGCTAAATGTCTAAAAATGCAGTACAAAGAAAAGTCTATAGCTTAAAATACCTCTCTCCCCCACATACAATTTGGAATATCAATTATGTACAACAAAGTACTCAAGTTTATAATGTTCTAAAACCTTAACTACTAGAAAACCATCTTCCCGAAAAAGGCCTATAATTGGTTTAATGCACCCTGGAAATACTGTCTGCCATAAAAATCAATACATTTCAGAGCTGGTAAGTATTAAAAAAACTAGTGTCCCAGAAAGGGGATATCAGAAGTGGAATATCGGGTTTGGGGGTCTGGACTCAAGTGGTTTAAGGCAGTTTTTTCTGTTATTCCTCCTTTAAACTCCTCACTTTGCTTTAACATGCAACATGGCAAACAACAATACAAAAGATCTTATAAAAATATTGCAGCTTTCAGTAAATTATGAGCTGCCACAGATACCACCAAAGAAGAAAGCAATCAACTGGGATATAGTCAAACTCATTGGCAAATACCAGAGCTTAACTGAGAGATAGCTGATCTCAGCAAGCACCAAATGTGCTCAGAAAGTGCCCCCAAAGAATAGTTGTGTTATATCTCAATAATCCAGTTCTGGATATGGTTTAGAGAAAGGGATGCATAGCAATAAATTCCCCATATATATCAAAGTAAGAAAATTAACCTAAAAAATGTTTTAAAGATTAAATATTTGATCTCTTAACAGATGAATACTAAATAACTAAATTGGTATTCATTTAAAAATATACAAACTGTGCCCTTTATACTAAAGTGCATTCAGTCATAATGTTTAGGTCCCTAAACCCCTTCTGTATGTTCCCTAATTCCATAAATGAATTTTTAGCGTAACAATGTGCTACTAATCATCTATTTTTGTATTGCCTTTTGGGAATACAGTGGAGTCTGGATTTATCAGTTGGCATATTCCCCCCCTCACCATAAGACCTTAAAGCACTTATGTATATCACCATTGCTAAAACAGAGGACTTAAGTAATGTTATCTCTAGCACTTAGAATTGGTTCACTTAAGCTACAGTATGGGATTTTTTTTTGAAGCAAGAACTCTTCCAAAATTACTTCCATATAAATTACAGTTCATGCTAAGATGTATATGTGCATCACTTTGAGAAAGGGCAGTGGCTCACTAACACAAATTTAAGGCCCAGCACCATTTGCAGTTTGTCATTCCTCATCCTCCTCCTCATCCTCATCATAGTACCGATTTCTCTTTATCTGTTCCTCCACAGACAGCTCTTGAACTACTTCTCCCTCCCAGAATCCCACATCCTGGGATTTCTGATTTTGGGTAGTGAATTCTTTAGAGGAGGTATTGTCTGCAAAGCTGGACCAATTTGTAGACTTGGGTTCTAGCGGAGACTGCTGTTTGAGATTTCTATCATCTTCATCTAAGTTTGCACCATTTTCTGTAAGATTCTCACTCCCCATCTCAAAACCATGATCTTCCTTACTTCTCCCCCCTGTCTCCCCTCCTCCAGATTCCTGGTTTTGCCAGGTTGTTTTTCCCACACTACCATTCTTTTCGGAGGTATTGGCATTTTCCCCTTGTTTCTTTTCTGCTGTCATTCCTCCTGTAAACTCCTCACTCTGCTCTGACATGCTCCAGCCTTTCCTTATAGGTGGGGACAAGACTTTTGGGCTCTTGACTGAAGTGGTTCGAAATGAAGCTGCTACAGTGAATGGGCGGCTTCTTTCCTTCAGTGAAGAAGATCGTCTTAGCTTCTTCAGATCCAGATCTACGTCCTCAGGAGCTTCAGGCTTGTTGATTTCATCCTCAGGAGGCCACTTGGGCTTGGATACTTTGATCCCTTCCTCCAAGATACTTCCTGAACTACCAAGTTCAGTGGGGGGTGGCCAGGCAATCTTCAGCTTCTTGGTTTCAGCTGGCTTGTCTTCTTTCTCTGACTGAGAGGAGGCCTTGGCTTCCATGCTTGCTGTCAGCACACCCACCTTAGCAATGGGGGCATCTTCTACTCCTGGGCTCTGAGGGGTCTCCCCTACATTTGGAAGCTGGGCTGGTCTCTCCAAAGTCCCTTCGTTTTCATTTTTGCTTGCCCACAGATCCTTGTGTGGTCTGTGCCCAAAGCCTTCATCATAGTTGCCTTTAGCTTTAAAGAGTTGATTGAAGTGAGGCTTGCAGTAGATTCTCCCATGTAAAGATGCATATGTTCCTAGACTGTTGTTAAAAGAAAAAGAGCATAAAGTTAATAGATCTGTATACTCTTATTTATACTAGCAGGCTGAACTGCAGTGTTTTCAGAAGATGCTAAGGGAGAAAAAGATCTTTAAAAGGACATCGATCACTTAGAATTCTTTACCCCCTCCCTTTCAAGCACATGTGTTTTATTACCCTTATAAAAACATGCTCATTTCTAGGCCTGAACCTTCACAAGACATTCTTTCATGTGGTACATCCTCCTACTTTCAAATGGTTTCATTCCCCTCTGCCAAAACTGTAAAAAAAAATTATTTCTCCCAAGAAGTCTTCCCTAGGTAAGCCCACCTATCTCTGACCACTCATAGATTTCCTAATTACAATCTATAACTACTTATAATGACATTCCTTTGTACAAAGTTGAATCATTTTCCTCGTTCCCCATCTGTGTTATAATTTAAAAGGACATCTCTACAGGAGTAGGTATAAGGCTCTGCAAACGGTTTGTACTCACTAGATGCTAGTGACTGAATATGGTCAATAGGAGCCCAGTGAGCAGTAGCCAGGAAGTAAATCTACACTAATATCAGTGCCGGACAGGCCTTTAGGACACTTGGTGTCTCTCGCAGGGTAATAAATTTTAAACAGGATATAAAAACAATAGCATTTCCACAGAAGAGATATAAAAATTCAGAAACTTGGAAAAATATGGAGAAAATAAATAATACCATGGGCAGAAAAAGAACCAATGAGTAGGAGTTACAGAGGCACATTTTGGCTCAACAGAAGGGAAAGTTGGGGAACTAGAGCTGTCTTACACTGGAACTAGGTAGTGGGGTATCACCCCAGCAAAGTGCCGCACAGATGCAAGCACATCTTTCAAGAGTATTTGAGAAGGAATGCTTGCTCTGAAAAGAAAGGTGGAGGAAGTGACATCCTAGTTACTTTCTTCCCTAAGACTCTGATTTAAAGGAGTTAATATGGAATATGTCCCCAATTTGTCACATTTCTTTTTTTTTTTTTTCCCCTTAGATTTTATTTGAGAGAGAGAGAGCTCAAGCAGGGGTCGGGGGAGGAGCAGAGGGAGAGGGACAAGCAGACTCCATGCTGAGCAAGGAGCTCGACACGGAGCTCGATCTCACAACCCTGAGATTGTGACCTGAGCTGAAATCAAGAGTTCGATGCCTAACTGACTGGGTCACTCAGGTGCCCCAATTTGTCACATTTCTATCCAATCCTTGAATTACTTGGAAGAAATGATACATAATTATTTTCTCAGAAATAAAAGGAAGCAATATACAGAAAAATACATGCTCTTCGGGGTCTATTATTATTGTTATTATTACCATTTATACAGTGTTTGGGACATTTTCAAGTAAGGACTTAGACAAGTATACTCTTTTTTTTTTTTTTTAAGGTTTTATTTATTTATTTGAGGAAGAGGGAGAGAGCAGGTGAGGGGCAGGGGAAGCAGGCTCTCCGCTGAGCAGGGAGCCTGATGCGGGGCTCGAACCCAGGACCCCTGGGGATCATGACCTGAGCCGAAGGCAGATGCTTCACAGACTGAGCTACCCAGGTGCCCCGACAAGTATACTCTTAAGATTTCTTAATTGTATGATTCTATGAGACCAAGGGGGGATATTCCACTAATTTAAGTCACAGGGGGTTTTACCTGCCAGCCATAGGATTTAAGCTCCCTGTAAATTAAACATGTAAATTAAAATATCAATGTACCACTAAGTTCCAAACACCATTCTCATTTGATATGAAATACTTCTCACTAAATGGTATTTTTTACTTTCTTTAAGGACCTTTGACAGTGCACTCTTGGTACAAGAGCTTCTAGTACCAGTGCTCTAAAAGCCAAAGACTCCTTCCCGTGGTCCAGTGACATAGAGAGATGGCTCACTCTGGTTGGCTTACGTAAGTTTGTTGTTGCAGTAGGAACAACGGAAGCAGCTGACGTGAAACACCTGCTGGTTGGCCAAGAGACGTTCCATTGGGTAGACTGTCTTCTGACACTCCACACAAGTCTCTCTCGCAGGTGCCTGAAACTTCTAGAAGGAAAAGGGTAACGTTAGCATAGGGAGGGGTGAGTTCGTACTCTGCTGAGATGTGCCCCAGTTTTACTTTGTTAGCTAAGGGCTCCCTTACCTGTCAATTCTCACAGGAACACTAAGCCTGTTATGATTCTATCAGCTGACTCTTTAAGGCCAGGAAGCTCTCCTGCATCCCTTTCCCCAACTGGCTGGCTGCCCCGAGTGTGGCAGCCACTGAGGCTGGACTGCAGAGGAAGGCTCGGACAGGCCACCACACATACAAACAAAAGTACACACAAAATGGTTCCACAGACAGGAAATTAGGAGAAAATGTTATCACATACAGAAGTTTGTTTGATTCAAGTGCCTGGTAAAAGCAGGACAGACTTTTATAAGAACAGATTCGAAAGGGGATAAATTTAAAGGAGAGGAAAAGCATTGGACTTTGGGAATTGGGAAAAGACAATCTGATAAAGCATCTTTTAGTGTCCTCTGCTTATAATCTTGACTTAGCATAATATTTTATCCATTAGGCACAATATTTTTAAATAAGTCAAAACTGACATGTAAATGTAATAATTTTAAAGAGAAAAACTTTTTTTTTTTAAAGATTTTATTTATTTGAGAGAGAGAGAATGAGAGAGAGCAAGCACATGAGAGGGGGGAGGAGGGTCAGAGGGAGAAGCAGGCTCCCTGCCGAGCAGGGAGCCCGATGCGGGACTCGACCCAGGGACTCCAGGATCATGACCTGAGCCGAAGGCAGTCGCTTAACCAACTGAGCCACCCAGGCACCCAAGAGACAAACTATTTTATTAGGACTCCAGAAGAAAGCATAGCCCAACAAAGCTATAGGTTCTATAATCTTCTCAGAAACCAACGGAGAGGGGCACCTGGCTGGCACAGTTGGGAGAGCAGGAGAACTCTTGATCTCAGGATTGTGAGTTAGAGCCCCATGTTGGGCGTGGAGCCTACTTGAAAAACAAGCAAACAAAAAACCCCAAAAAACAATGGAGAATAAAACTATTGTAATGGGGAGTGAAAGGTCATAACAGACTGGGAATTCATGAACTGTCTGTAAAGTTTGGAATAAGAGAGGGGTGAGCATAGCTGTTTCAGCTGGTAAACCCAACCCAAACATAAAATAGTTCTAATTATAGGGGCGCCTGGGAGGCTCGTCGTTAAGCGTCTGCCTTCGGCTCAGGTCATGATCCCAGGGTCCTGGGATCGAGCCCCGCATCGGGCTCCCTGCTCGGCGGGAAGCCTGCTTCTCCCTCTCCTGCTTCCCCTGCTTGTGTTTCCTCTCTCGCTGTGTCTCTCTCTGTCAAGTAAATAAATAAAAAATCTTAAAAAAAAAATAGTTCTTATTATAGCACTGATGAAAGCCAGAATTCCCAAAGGGCAAGTTTTTACATAAGAAATGGTTACTGAGCTAATGGGGCTGGGGGTAAGAAGTCCCTAGGTATATGTAAATAACTCTTGACTTGCTCCAACAGAAACACCTTATCCAGCAAATGCAGGAGCAGCTTGGGTTAAGGTGGCTGGGAAGCTCTTACAGGCACCTGGGTGGAGGGCCAGGGCGGGGGTCTCTGCAGCCAAGACCTGGGTGGTGGTAAATAATGCAAATTAGTCCCAAGGTCCAGGACTTGAATGGTAAAGATAAGCCAAAAATAAACCAGGTTATGGGCAAGATAGAATTTTCATTTAAAAAACCTGAAAATAGTCCCATAAAAAATTCAGAATGCTGGTTCACTTGCTACATGATTCACCAGGAGGTAAAGCAAAAAATAGGAATGGTTTCCCAAGTGGATCCGGACAGGAAACAAAAGTAGAAAATGGGTTAAAAAAAAAAATGGCCATAAAGGGAAATCTCTATAAAAGGGGAGTTTAATACAGTTTAGTGGTAAACAAATAGCACCAAGGGACTGAAGAATGAACAGAACTGAGTGGGAATGGCTCCTCAACAGCCCCCTTCTATTCCTAAGGTTAGAGCCCTAAAAAGAAAAACTTAAATAGTCAAAGACAGATTCAACCTAGTTTACCAAATAAGGGAGGTATTTAAATATGATCAAATGTTGTAAATGAATGCTGTTGGAAGCAATTAGGGCCTTATCTGGAGCTCAGAATTCTTATATGGATACTTCTAACAAGATAGGACCCAGTGGCGATGTCACGGCATAGTTTTAATTAGGTTTTCTCTAAAAAGAGCTAGGTCCTTGTCTAGCCAGCAGGAAATACATTAAAATGCAAAATAAAATTCGGGTGTCACAGTACAATTGATGGCATCGCAGAGAGCCTGTACAGATCACAATCCACATGATGCAGAAGTCAGAGGCCAAATGTATCTATTTCTCAGACTGAAACTCTTTGTCAGGGGCAGGGCGGCTTCCGTACTTTGAGCGCTTGACTTAGGAGGACAGTATTCGTTCTGGGCAGCGAAGACAGAGCAGGAGACAGGAACCTCCCGGGATACAAGAGGAGAGGGGTATGACTGCGCTCAGGGGAATGGAGAGAGCTGGAACACACCTCCATCACACACACACAGAGGACACACTGTAGGAGGGTGCGGCCCCGGGAACAGAAAGGAGAACCTGAGAGAAAGCTGAAAGCTGAGCTCACGTTAGGAGGAAAGTGGAAGGCAGGAGCAGAAATTAGGTACCGGAGGAGCAGGAAGCAGAAGCTGCAAGAGACAAACAGGAACCTTCAGTGAATACACAGCATTCAGTGCGGGGCGGGGGTGGGGGGCCTGGAGCGCTTTACTGCAGCTGAGCTGAAACTCAGGTACAGACTCGGATCCAAGAATAAGACCACGTTTTCTTTCTTTTTCAAGTAATTCTGCTAATTGTGGCCAAAGCAGCCTCACTCCTATCTACCTGAGGCTGGAACCTGGTCCAGCTCAGGACAGAGAGCTGTCGTGAGCCTTCCCCCACACGAGGAGTGTCTCATTAACAATTCTTTAGTGTCTTACTGCCTCCCACACCTGACCCACAATGGCTCTCTCTTGAATGGGGTGAAAAGCCACCTCTCCTCCTTAACATCACATTAACAGACTGCTAGCTCAAACATCTGACTAACCACCAGCTTCTAACTAACCAGACCTACAGAGGCCCGTTATTCCTATCCAATTTTTACAGAGACCCTTTTCAATATTATTTAATGTTTATATGGCAGCTGCCCAAGGGCCTTCTAGTTTCAAAAAGTCAAGAGGATCCCAACCTGGTCATATGCCAAATCAGAGGGGCTGTCTGTGCCTTCCCTTTACTTCCTCTGTCCCGGGCTCTCAGCCACTTTTCTGTAATTGCCCCCATGTCTATTCAGACGACAGGAAGCAGAGTCAGTGCCCAAAAATCTCTACCATTATGGTAGGCCTGGCATATATCCTGCCCATGCCTTCATGGCGTGCTCGGACTTGGCACATCCACGTTTAAAACACTGCCAGTATTAGAATGTTAGAAATTTTTTATCTTTAAATTATATTTTTTCACTCTGTAAGATGTTTTTCATCTCTCCTCCCTCACTCTTTTTTACATGTAGAAACTACAGCACCAGGACGTCAAGTTCCTTATCAAAGCTCCCACGGTCAGTAACGGAATTAAAACTAAAACTCAGAACTCCTAATTCACAAACCAATAGAGCATTTTCTAAATTGTCCTGGCATGCTAATTTTCCATAACTAAAGGAAACTCTGGGGAGGAGAGCAGATGCTAACCCAAATGAAAATAATCTCACTATAGCAGTTTGAACAAACTACAGTCCTCACTTTGTTTCAAATTAAAATACGTAGATAATATCTTTGGGATGTTCAGAAATGAATGAGGTAATATTTACATAACTGATGTTCATAAACACTGTCATGTCTTTCCCATGTGAGGGATCTTACAGGCCCTCTGTTGATCAGCATCTATACAAAGCTATTTTTCTAATAAATGTGTGTGGCTTCATCTACATTCTTTCACCATCTGGCCTTACATATATATTTCAGTCTAATGAAAGCTCTAGTTGGGAGATTATAGATATGTATATATTTATATGTATATGTAACATATATAAACAACATACATATATATGGGGGTGGGGCTGGCAACAGTCAGTGAAGCTAACTAGCCTTTGGACATGGTGAAGCCAGAAGGAAATTCTGTATTGATGTCAGGCTTCCATTCCTCAAGAACACCACAAAATGCCTTTCATTCCCTCCTTTCCAATCTGTGCAAAATATCTAGGTAATTAAACTGAAATTCTTCACATACAGTAAATGGTTGGGTCGGCTCTGTGCAGCCTTAACCCTTCCCCTGGCTTTCTGTGAAGCTCTTTTTGACAGCATTTTGGAGATACTCACATCTTAGACTGCTCTACGTGTAGAGGAAAGGTTCGTGTTTGATAAAGCAGGAATAATGGAGATAGTAAGAAAAGATTCTAGGTGCCCTTCTAGCATAATTCCAATGGCTTTGCAAACTAGCATAAAACCTCCTACCCTGTCCATAGAGGAAGGGACAGCCAGCAGGGCATTGAGGGGGTGCCAGGTGAGTGTCCTCTCAGGCAGTATGCCATGTTTTCTCTCCACATCCTTCAGCAGGACCAGACAAGGAAGCCTTGGCTGTCCTCATGGGGGCAAGTGGGTGTTCCCAGAGCTGGCCACATCTCCTTGCCTGTTCCTCCCTGTTCTCCCATTTAGGGGAAACATTTGGGGGATAACTTCTCTCAATGGAAGGACATAAAGCCTAAGAGACCTCTGGGTCTCTTGAGTAGAAAGGTCCTGATCTTTCTCACAGGGTCCGCTGAGCTCTGCTCCCAGAATGTCTTTTTTGAGAGTGAACCTGCAACTTCAATTTCATTAGCACCAGGTCTCATCAACTGAGCTATCTGGCCAGTGTTCAAAATATACAAATAAAACTCTTACTTGTAAAGATGTAGGATCATTTTTCTAATTTATCAAGCTGAAGTTTGAAATTAATCGAATCTCTACCTTAGATGTCCTGTTTTTCAATAACAGACAGATAGGCACTAAGGAACAGTTTTTCTAGGATGTGTGGGACCTAAAAATCTATTCTGAGTGAACAAGTTTATTCTGAGCTGTATGTAATTTCCCCAAGTGGAGAAACAACTTCTGTCACGTGGTCTACAGCCATGAGACCAGTGATGCCAGCAGGTCTTCCTATAAACACTCAAGTATATATATACTTGCCTTCAGAATGTAAAGGATAAATTTGAGGAGGAGAAAATAAACTACCCTTAAATAAAAGTGGAGATGCGACTGAGTCCCATCTGTATCTGTACACTATCATCATTTGAGCTTTGGACCATCGGCAAACACAGGGAGCCAGGCCTATTTACTCCAGTCTTTACACAATGTTCAAAACCTAAGGTGTCTGTCTGGTGGAAGCAAGCCTGTCTGCATTCTCCTGCTGAGTGACCAGGGCCAAAGAACAGGCATGGGTCTGGGACAGGTGTAGAGGGAGCTTTATCTCCACCCCCTCTCATCCCTGGTATGCTAGGGAGGACCTATGTGAGGTGCACTCTGTCACTCATCACTCAGCAGCTCAGACCCTGGAGTCTGAATCAAGGAGGGACCTCAAAAGTCCAACCCAGCACCAGGAGGTCTGACCTAGCAGTTAAGGGAAGGAAATGAGACTGGGTTGAGAATTCAAATATATTCAAGAACAGATTTTAGTTCTTAGACAAGCCATGGAATTTCCTAGTCCCTCAGTCCATGGCCAAGTCAGATTTACTGGCTGTTCTTAATCCAGAACCACAACCCAAGGACTCACATCTCGGCAGGGTTGCTGTTGGAGAAGAAATTAACCCCATGGCATTTGCTACTTTGTTGGGCTCCAGATACTGGACAAAGAAAGTGCTGATGACAGCATGAGCTGAACTTTAAAGCCGCCAGAAGAGGGGGTCATGTTGAATACATGTGCAGCTCAATCACTGTAACTCTATCCTTCCTCCCTTTACCTGCTTTCGCTTGCTACTTTCTTCACCTTTTGCTCCTTTTCAATAAACCTTACTCTCCTCATGAATCTCAGGCTTCCTGTAAAATTTTCATTTACATTCTTCACTCTTCCTCTTTCCCTTTTTTAACTCGCCCTTTATATCCCGGATTCTCCTTTTCTCCTTTTGTTCCAAATCTTCATCTATGTCCTCTTCTCTTCCTTCTTTTTGTGCACTAGAACTTTCATCAAGGCATCAGTCATGCCCACAACTGAGAGATACAGGCACAGCTGATGGGTGCATGAGGCTGGGGCAGTTACAAACCATCAACACACCAATTCTACCTACTGCATTTCTTTTAAATGTTAAAACTTTCTAAACAAAACCTGGCTACTTAAGAGGGCACCAGAGGAGAAAGACACTAAAGAAGTGTGGGTATGTTTGGTTATTAATCCACATGGCTAAATTAGCACTACATTAGCAAAGCATTCCATTAAAATAAGTCAGGTAATAAAGTCTAAAGTAGGCATTGGGATTTTTTTTAACCTTTATTTTTATGAGAGTATATATTTGTTCATAGAAAGGGAAAAGACTGCTTTTAAAAACTGGTGAATAAAAGCTGGCCAGAGATTGAGTAGCCTAGTAAAGTTTTCTTAGGGTACAAAACTTTTGTACATTCCTTAACATCTAATATTATATACCCTAGTATAAGTGTTACTTGAATGCCCGATTTTATAGCAAATGGGCTGGCCAACTCCCACTGCAATGTACACAGTCTTTCTTTAAAGAAGCTAACCACCAATCATGTTACAGTCAAGTTCTTCAGACCAGTGGGCCACTCTCTTTAAGTTGACATGCACATCCCCATCCAATGGGCTGATTTAGTTTGACAGATTTCTTGAATTTCCCACTTTGTGGTCTTTTGCCCATTCACAGATTTATGGACTTGGGCATTTTTTCCCCTCAAACACACACACACACACACACACACACACCTCACATCATTTTCTTTAATTTTGGGTTTCCTTAAAACTTTCATGAATTTTCCAGATTTTAAACCGAGAGCTATTAGTGAACCTCTCCCCTCCTGGCTCAAACATCTGAGCAGAAGAGACAAGATTTCCAGGGAAAGTGACTGGCTTAAGTATGCCCTTTCTTGGCATTTTAATCCCCACAAAAGCAAAAAGGGGTTATAATGAACACAATGATATAAGGTGCAATGAGATCTATTCGTAAACCAATGTCTAAAGGTTCCGAGAGAAATTGCCATCATACCTTCACTGCTTTGGGAGGAGAACTTTCAGAGAGGCTGGAGGCTCTGGCATCTGGATTTAGTGGTTTAGGATGGACAGGCTGCTGGACCTCACTCTTGACCTGGGAGTTACCTGCTTGAATTACAAAAGGAAGGCATTTTACAGTATCAGGGGAAGTCTCAGAAATGGTTCCTCCCCAGAGCAAAGCTTTGGCACCTCTATAATGGACAGGTCTTTTCAACACCAGGAAAAACACAGCTCTTCTAATGCTAAAAGCTATGCTCTTAGGTTCTCAGCTGGGAGGTTTTTTCACACTTTGCCACACACAGCAAGAACCCAAATCATTCTTTCTGAAGAACCTTCTGCCCCCGCACCATGGTATTTGTCATTTTTGAAGGCTGTTTGTAGCAATGTGATGTCATGAGCACTGGGCATTATGTAAGACTGATGAATCACTGAACTCTACCTCTGAAACTAATAATACACTATATGTTAATTTAATTTAAATTAAGAAAATAAAGGCTGTTTGTAGATGATTTTTTTGGTAGTTGGCACCCCCAATAACTCCTTCTGGAGTGCTTGAAGGAAGGTGAGAGTATAAATTTCCTACTGCACACGCACACCTACACACGTGTGTGTGGGTATGGGTGTGTGTGTAATTTGACAGTCTTTTTGGTCAGTCCTATAGCAGATATCTATGGATGGAGATTATGGAAAAAGGCTCCATGAAGTTTTTTTCATAATCATTGATGTGTCACCTGCATAAGTTAATTTTCTGCCAATATAGTCACTGTGTGGAAAACTCTGAGCAGACACAGAAAAGTGCTACTAAGGAACCATAAAAGAATTCCTTAAAATCTAGAGTTAAGTCAACAAAGTACTAAAAGATTAAGGCTTATTTTTCAAATGTTTTGCAAACCTAGTCAAAACTCAGAAAAATTTCTAGTCCAAGCAAAATGACTACAAAAGGAATGTTCTTGGATTCAAGCAGCAAGTTTCTCTCTAAAATTTTAAGGTAGGATTTGCTAGAGATTTGTTAAATTCATATTTCTACTTTAGTTGCTGAGTTTTCAATGTCTAGTAAAGTAATTAACCCGGGGAGAAGCTAGAAATCCACATATATTTAAAAAAAATACTGAAAATCAGAATCAAAAGTGGATATAGTAAGAAAAAAAAAACAAAGGTTTTTGTTTTTGGTAGAAGTGAGGCTTGAAATGGATGAAAAGCTGGTAAAATTCAGCGCCAACAGGAAAATCTCTAGAATCTGGCTAGAAGGCGGACTATGGTTCACATATAGATAAGCAGAGAAAGATATTTTTAAAAGGTTACTCAAATACCAATTCTTTATCTCTGTAAATGAATAAAATCCTTCCTGGCCAAACTCCTATTAAACTGAAACTTCAAAATTAGTTTTTACAGCTTGAACCCTGAAAAGGTTTGATACAAAAGGTAGGGTACGTTCAATGAGAGAAGCACCAAAAGTATTCAGTTTGCCCCAAGTTAATCACATTAATTTCTCCCTAAGCCAGGGAACGTGTGAAGGGTAAGCAAGCATCAGTCCTTAAAACCTAGTGAAAGATTTGATCAGCTAAGTTGCTGGGTTTAATACGTTACATTCTCAGCACTGACAGCAATGGGGACATTCCTGGACGAAATACAGAATACAGAACAAGAACCTCATCCTCCAGATCTAAGAACAAATGCTTACGGGAGTCATCTTCCGCAGGGGTGGAACGGACTGCCAGGCTATTCTCAGTTGCAGAAACCTACAAAAGGGGGGGATTAAGAATCACATTAAAAATAAAAGAGCACACTGCTGTTAATGCCATAAAAACCTGCTGACTCTAGTCAGTCACTGGCTGCCTGGGGGAAATAACGGCCCCAGAACAGCTGAGCATTTAAACAAGAGGCAGCAAAATGTCTTTTATGAGGATATTAACATGCCTCTCAATTACAGAGTAACGGGAGAAACAGACTGCACTCAACTGCCAAAAGTGTGCATCATCTCCCTTTATAAAAGAACTTCTAAACCACATCTTTCTGCTGTCAATAAATAAATAAATAAAGGTAAAACAAAACCCTCTATCAGAGAGAACAAAGCTCCTTACCATAGAACTATAACACACTCAAAGGCAAGATGAAGTCTTTACATTAGGAACTATTCTTATTCCTTTATCTTCCTAATTCCCTATTTCCCAACCAGATACATTCTGCTGAAACAAACTGGCCAATACAGAAGACCTTTTGATAGCTAAAAGACAACTTGACCAAAAACCAACCTCTGGTGTTATCTTCAAGGTTAGTTTTCCATTTTAATCCCAGTCTCAAAATGGCAATGTTTAACAAAATGGCAGATCTTATGTATGGGTGCAAATCTCTTCCCCAGAAGCCATCAAATTTAAATAAAAACTTTCTACTTTCTCTCTCTCTCCTTTTTAGTGGCCCCTAGGCCTTTCCGGTATCCTCTATCACACTCAAAATCATGAAGGGTCAATAGGTGACCCAATGTGTAGTCTTCATGTAAAAGTCTTTCATTTACGGGCACCTGGGTGGCTCAGTCATTAAGCGTCTGCCTTCGGCTCAGGTCACGAGCCCCGTCAGGTTCCCTGCTCTGCGGGAAGCCTGCTTCTCCCTCTCCCACTCCCCCTGCTTGTGTTCCCTCTCTCACTGTCTCTCTGTCAAAAAAATAAATAAAATCTTAAAAAAAAAAAAAAAGTCTTTCATTCAGATGTCAGGGATTTTATGGGCAATGCTGAGTGTTTCTATCGGGATGTCTAATGTACTGAATAAATGTACAATGGAGATTAAGTCATTGGCTGACTGCACCTGAATTTTTGCATGGTTGTTTTTTCTCATTACTCTCTCTCTTTTTTTTTTTTTTCCAAGTAGGCTCCACACCCAACATGGAGCCAAATGCAGGGCTTGAACTCATGACCCTGAGATCAAGACCTGAACTGAGATCGAGTTGGACACTCAACCAACTGAGCCACCCAGGCGCCCCTACTCTCTTTTCATTACAGGAATTCTGACATCGCATAGAACAAACCAGTATAATAACAGCCAACATTTATTCAGTGTTTAGTATGTGCCAGGTATTGGAATGATCACTTTACATACATTATTTCATTTAATGATAGTAAAGAAATTAAAAGCTCTTCAATTCTTGTTAATTAGTACGTGCACCCATCCCAGGATGTTCCTCTCTCACCTCTAATTCTGGTCACCTTGAACCTGCAGGGTAAACTTACTGCCAATCATGACATCATTGCACATGCCCAACCAGCCGACCTCACTGCAGGAGCCGCCGGGAGAGAGCACGTGAGATTTTGCTCAAACATTTTGTTAAAGGAAAGCGCAAATTCGTTACAAGAGGAGAAAGGGAAGAACAATACCTTTGTAAGGATAACTGAGGTTCTGAAAAATTTTACGAATCTGAAGGCAGCCCAGCTTTATGAACCTGCAGTATGTACCTGAAGGCTATGGACTGTCTTTATCCCCTTTCTTCCCCACCCACTCCTCAACTCATGGTTCAGTTGCACTGGTGCCCTTTTAGGCTATAATTACAGTGTTCTGATACTCCAGTTCAACTCAAGAGTTCCAGTTTCAAATCAGTGTGAAGATAATCAAGAAAGAAACACAAAATTAGATTAGGGACAATCCAGGCATTATTTTCTAGATGATCATTTCTGAAACTGCGCTCCTAAGATAGATGGGGAGATTTCAATGCTGGGAATATTTTTCTCTTAAGTTCCTTTTTTATAGTATGTAACATTTTAACTCAGTTCTTTTTTTTTTTTTTTTTAAGATTTTATTTATTTATTTCAGAGAGAGAGAATGAGAGAGAGCACATGAGAGGGGGGAGGGTCAGAGGGAGAAGCAGACTCCCTGCCGAGCAGGGAGCCCGATGCGGGACTCGATCCTGGGACTCCAGGATCATGACCTGAGCTGAAGGCAGTCGCTTAACCAACTGAGCCACCCAGGCGCCCTTTTTTTTTTTTTTTTAAAAGATTTTATATTTAATCTGTACACCCAACGTGGAGCTTGAACTCACAACCCCACGATCAAGAGTCGCACACTCCACTAAGCCAGCAAGGCGCCCTAACTCAGTTTACTCTGTTTGTTTGTTTGTTTGTTTAAGATTTTATTTATTTATTTGACAGAGAGAGACACAGCAAGAGCAGGAACACAAGCAGCAGGAGTGGGAGAGGGAGAAGCAGGCCTCCCGCTGAGCCGGGAGCCCGATGCGAGACTCGATCCCAGGACCCTGAGATCATGATCTGAACCAAAGGCAGCCGCTTAACGACTGAGCCACCCAGGCGCCCCCTCAGTTTATTCTTAAGACACAATCTCCCACTTAAAAATGGGAAAACCAGGTAGTATTCTAGTAAGAGAACTCACCTGATACATGGCATGTGACTCATGGGACTAATGCGTGAGCCCACTGTTGCCAGGACATATATAATTTATTGGATGATTTTATGATTATGAAGCACACGGTTGCCAAGTATTTTGTCTTATTATTTCAACATATACTTGCAATATGTTTTTGTAAAATAAAGAGATCTAATTTTTCTGGAACATAAGGAATAGCATGGAGGACATTAGGAGAAGGAAGGGAAAAACGAAGGGGGGAGAATTGGAGGGGGAGACAAACCATGAGACTATGGACTCCGAGAAACAAACTGAGGGTTTTAGAGGGGATGGAGGTCGGGGGATGGGTTAGCCCAGTGATGGGTATTGAGGGCACATATTGCATGGAGCACTGGGTGTTATATGCAAACAATGAATCATGGAACGCTATATCAAAAACTAATGATATACTGTATGGTGACTAACATAACATAATAATAAAAAAAGATCTAATTTTTCTAATTTTTTTCCCTGTTGTAAGATTCAAATTTTGTAGCCATTAATCTGAGATCATTTTCCTGTGTGCCTACTTTGGTCCAAGTGTGTAGTGTATTTCATAATTTCCTATTGGTGTTCTGCCAATACATCATGCTTTTTAATACCTTTTTTTTAAAAGATTTATTTATTTATTTGAAAGAGAGAGAATGAGAGAGAGAGAGAGAGAGACACACACACATGAGAGGGGGGAGGGTCAGAGGGAGAAGCAGATTCCCCACCGAGCAGGGAGCCCGATGTGGGACTCGATCCCAGGACTCCAGGACCATGACCTGAGCCGAAGGCAGTCGCTCAACCAACTGAGCCACCCAGGCGCCCAATACATCATGCTTTTTAAAGTATTTTTTTTTAAGATTTTATTTGTTTATTTGGCAGAGAGAGACACAGCAAGAGAGGGAACACAAGCAGGGGAGTGAGAGAGGGAGAAGCAGGCTTCCCACAGAACAGGGAGCCCGATGCGGGGCTCGATCCCAGGACCCTGGGATCACGACCTGAGCCAAAGGCAGACGCTTAACAACTGAGCCACCAGGCGCCCCTAAAGTCTCTTATAGACCAAAAAATTTGAGAACTATTGCTCTTAATCCATTTTAATTATCTCCTCATCTTTTGGAAGAATGGCCTCAAGGGTATCAATATGTGTAACAGAAGCAATGACTTTTTTTTTTTTTTTAAGATTTTTAAAATTTATTTATTTGACAGAGAGAGGCACAGCGAGAGAGGGAACACAAGCAGGGGGACTGGGAGAGGGAGAAGCAGGCTTCCCGCCGAGCAGGGAGCCCGATGTGGGGCTTGATCCCAGGACCCTGAGATCATGACCTGAGCTGAAGGCAGACGCTTAACGACTGAGTCACCCAGGTGCCCAAAGCAATGACTTTTCTCCTAAGATTAATCACTCTGATATATTTGAAAGCTCTTTCTCCTCATCTAACTTAACATTTGGTTATCATATTGACCAAAAGACAAAAAAACAAAACAAACAACAACAAAACAACTGGGTAATGGATTGGCAAAGAAAATGATAAATCACCTGACATAAATGTTGTTATGTACTCCAACCAAGCCAATCATCTAGTGATAGGCACATAAAACACAAATATGATTTGCTTAAAATCACCCTGTGGTTTTTCACCTCGGCAGGACTCTTTCCAAAGTCTTAAGTGTGGCATATAAAGCTTCTCAAGACCTGCCCCGGCCCTCTCCCTCCACTTGGCTCTCTCCATTACCTATATGGCTTGTGTTCCAGCCTCTGGTTTCCAAACCTCTGTTTGTGTCTGCCTGGAATGCCCTTCTTTCTCTTTACTCAACCTTTCCCTTATTCGCTTGGTCTCTTTCCACACATTCTTCCCGACTTGGCAGACATCACCTTCTTGAGGAAGTCAGGTTAAATGTCCTTAGTCAGAGCTTCCATGGCCCCACAGAGCCCTCTCACCACACTTACCACACTGCTTTAGGACAGCCAACCTGTCACTCATCTCCCTTCTACTCTGTTAGCTCCCTTGCAGATAAAGACCCCATGGAATGGTGGAATGGTTTGTTCTTCTTTAGTTTTTAAGCTTAGCATTTCCTACGCTTAGCATAGTGCCTTGCTTTCTAAACAGTCTGAGTGAAAGAATGAAATTGTCTTACATAAAATGTGTTAAATTAAGAATACAGGAATTCCTTGAAGATATCGTCTCTAATCAAAACAGATTTTTAAAAATCACTTTAGCTCTACACCCTCTGAGCATCTGCCAAGCAAAAGAATTTTCCAGTGAAGGTTCATTATTTGGTCAGCTATAAGTCGCAGAGTTCCCCAACTGAAATTATGTGACCTGCAAAAATAACAATCTGTCCTGGCAGCTGTTACCAAATTCCCAGACACTCTGCAGCCTAGAGTTAGAGTGGTTTCTAATTTTAAGCGTCTAATTTAGAACACATGCTTCCTTGGCAACTGGACATCAGATTTTTCAACCCACCTTCTCTCCAACCTGATGGGAGATGCAGACCTCAGGATCTGGGGGCACATTCTCCTTTTGCTCCAATTTATGAGTTCTGATTTCACCGCCATTGGCTCTCAGGTCATTCTACAAAATAAAAATAAATCTGTGAACTAAAATTAAAAAAAAGCTTACTATTCTGCGTTCTTCATAGCACATCCATTAAATAAATTTGGGACGGTAAAAGAAAAGTTCTTTTAAGAAGCCTCGGGTCAAATCAACCCCCTAATTCTCACAAGCAAAACCCATTGACTAGTGAAATGACAAAAGCCGCTTTGTGGACACACACCTCAGAGTTAAATATTTGTACACTAGTCTAAAACTGGATGCTCATTAGAATACAGACATATCAACACAGACACACACAGAAACCACCCCCAGCATACAATGTTCTTGTGATTCACTCCTCTAGCAGCAGAGCTTGTGGGAATGCAAAGCTTGTGAGTTTTATCAGAAAAGACCATTCTGGAGCAGGGGAAAGGAGATGCCAAGTGCCAATAATCAAGAAAATATACTGACCATATATATAAATGCTCGGCCTGGAAAGAGAGACAGGGATGATGCATACATATAAAAACTGAAATTATATTTAATGATACCATAAAACAACCTTTTTTTTGGTGAGACTTTCAAAAACATGCTTCTTTTTGCATAAAATTCAGACATTGTACTAAAGACATACCTTATTCTACTTCTCAGAACAGAATCTCCACATAAAAAAGCAGGCATTAATACTGTCATAAGGAGTAAGCATAATCACATTTTTTTTTCCTTGCAAAGAACACTTGGGGCAAAATATTAAAATTAACTTTATCTACTAGATCCAAGATCAATATAGTGGTAGATGAATATGGGCATTTCCTACCTTTAGTTTTCTATCTTTCTGAAAGTCTGGTACCTTTCTGTTCTCTGTGATTCTTTAGGCAGGGCGAGAAAACAAGCCATGTATGGCCACAGGGCCAGGGTTAAGTGTGCTGACTGAGGTGTGGGATCCCAGACTAAGGGACAAGGCTCTGGAGGAGCATTGGTGAGGGGGAGCAGGCAGCGAGTGCTGCAGAACACAACAGGACAGCAGAAGGACTCACTCCTGACCCCATCTTGAAGCCTGGCCTCCAGAATCACGCCAGAGTGTGTGCGCCTTGTTACAGCCATCCTCTGTAAGGGGCCTGAGAAATTCTTTTGGGATGAGATAAAATGTACTTTTTACAAGAATTCCTAAAGACTTTTCAACTCTTAAAATTTACAGAGCAGGAGAATTGCAATGCTGAAACTCTATTAGGAGTTTAAAAAAAAAAGTCACTGAACAGGTTTTTCCACTTAGGGAGTCACCTGGTTGGAATGTTTATAGCAGGAGGGCACAGAGAAGCAGCAAAATCTTGAAACAAGGGAAATAAGCTCCAAAGATCACCTGTTTGCTCTATCTCCTGACCTCCTTCTAAGAGAAGTCTAACTTTGCTCACTTTCATGCTGTCGGTGAATAATCAGCCTGTGGTGTTCCACTTTACGACTGAGTTATACACATCATCTCTTCTTAAAACCACAGCGAAAACTCAGGACAAAATTATTCATTGCCCAGAGACTTAGTCCACCAATAAGTACTATTGGAGAATGCATACTTAATAATGTGAGGAAAAGAAGGCTCAACTCCTGGAATACAAGTTATGATTTCTAATAGGTCAACTCGTTTCAGTCTGCCTGGGAACAAATAAAAATCAATACTATCTTCCAACAAAAACATAGGACACCTAGAGATTCGTGGCTTGTATTCTGAAATCTCAGAAGGAACAAATGTTTGAGAGATCCATATCTATGTATATGTAGAGTGTTTATATGCATGTGTAGGTATGAATAAATGACATTTAAAAGGTATCTTTGGTTAAGCAGTTCTGTAGTGTCAGCCTGCCAGGTAAGCCTAGGAAAATCTAAAATGCAAAGACCCTTCATTTGATTCAGAATATCACATTTTTATGCTTACTGAGCATGTCATCTTCCTATTATTTCTCCCTCCCCTTTATCTATCCATTATTCTATTTCTTTAGAAAATCATTACATCATAAGAAGTAAGGATCAAGTAGGCCATATATTGTATGATTCACTTATATAAAATATCCAGAATAGGTAAATCCATAAAGACAGAAAGCAGATTAGTGGTTGCCAAGGGATGAGGGGAGGGGAACTAGTGACTGCACAGGTATGGGGTTTCTTTTTGGGGTGATGGAAATGTTCTGGAATTAGACAGTGATGACGATGGCATGACCTTAGGAATACACTAAAAATCACTGAATTACATGTGAAAGTGGTCATTTTATATCATGTGAATTCTATATCAAGAAAAAACTGCAAGAAACCTCCCCATCCCACATTAATGTCGAATATATCCCATATTTCTTGCCAGTATTCTCTCCTCCTTTCCTCAAAAACAAAAACAAGTGTTTCTGTTAAAACTAACAGACTATAACTTTTTTAGCAACAACAACAAAATTAAGCAGAAGAGGCAGGAACACTGTCCATGATATTACTGGATGATAACATCACCAATGAAGGAGTGCGGTGGGAATGAGGCCTAGGAAAGCAAAGTCAGGATTAGAACATGATAAGGATTCTGAATGAAGCTAGGGTAGGGTTTACGTGGAAGGAGAATGGCTAGGGACCAGGGAGAGAGCAGGGCTCTCGGGTCAGGGTCTGGGAGACATCTCTTGTCTCCGTGCTCAGTGACCACTGGCTGGATGAGTGAATGGATGATGCAGAACACCTACTGTGGAGCTGCTGGAGCTGCTCTGCTTGGACACAGCTGCCTGGTACTTGGCCATTCGATCCTTTATGGAGGTTTCTGACAGGCGCGGTAAGTCCAGATTTCGCCTGCTCTCGCTTTTCTCTGTGTTGAACGGAGAAGATGACGACTGACCTGGAAGCGCACAAATAATGTGTCCTATCAGAAGATAAAATGTGATTTGAATGGTTTCAAGATTCTAAATTTGGCGGGCGCCTGGGTGGCTCAGTCGTTAAGCGTCTGCCTTCAGCTCAGGTCATGATCCCAGGGTCCTGGGATAGAGCCGCGCATCGGGCTCCCTGCTCGGCGGGAAGCCTGCTTCTCCCTCTTCCACTCCCCTTGCTTGTGTTCCCTCTCTCGCTGTGTCTCTGTCAAATACATAAATAAAATCTTAAAAAAAAGAAGAAAAGTTTCTAAATTTGGGGCTGTTGGAATTGGATGTAATCCATTTCTTCTACGAAGGGTACAAAGAAGGAAATCAGGAATATAACTGTCACTTACTAGGTAATAGTTACTCACTTTCCCAACTTTAAAAGAACCTTTACCATAAATGAGTATTATATATTTAAACATTTTGGCTTACTTAACATTGGAAAAAACTAGATCTCAATGCCATTTTAATTTGCATTTCTTCACCAGGAGGCTGATGATTTTCCTGTTAATTTTATTTTTTGTTTTGTGAAATGCCTGTATAGGGCCCCCTTCCAAACATAATAATTATGCTCTCAAGGTGTTATGTTACCATCGGTAATACAGGATAACCAGTCTTGACAGAGGACACTGCCACCCACCCATGGCAGCCCTCAAGCCCCAGATGACCTCAGAGCCAAAACTGTCGGCAGTCTTCCCTCGTCATCCCACAAGGGGACCCCTGGGCTGTCACAAATATAGTTCCTTTTAATTTGTGCCACTCTTCCTCTAAAAGCATCGGCTTTGAGGCCAAAAGGTACTGCTACTAATGAGTACTTCCTAGGGAACCTCACACACACGGAATGCTGCTTACCTGGGCCTATTTCCAAATCATCCAGAGAATAGCTGTTTTCAGAGATCCTCCTTCCACCTGCACTCCGACTTTGGGACCGAAGAATCTGTTGGGGAAAACAAAACCCAGCCATAAGCTTTACAAAGAAGGTGGGAAATCCTGATGAATGTTCAGAGAAGAGGCCTGCAAATCTCCTTTAAGAATAAAATCCGTAAGAGATTAGATTTTGTATTAGTTTTTACATTCCACAGAATGTGTTTTTCGCATTATAAATATGAAGCACTACATATTCACAGGTGCCCAGGCAGAAATAAGTAACTCTATAGAGGTAATTCTCTCTGGTAATAATCACTGCCTAACCGGCTTAACCAGAGAACTAAGCACTTTAACCAGCCATGGAGGGAAATCCTCATGTCCCAGACAACAGGGACATGTCTCCCTGAACGTCAAGTCTAGATGACAGTATCTGCCGTTTGTTTCCCTTTTCCCTCCCACTTCATCCCCGCTGTTACGGCCTTGGTTCACATCTTTATCTTTTCCCTGGACTATTGTATTACATTTCTAATTGCTTCCTCTCTCCCTTCCAATCAAGTCTCTATGATGCTGCCATTATCCCACGTCATGTAATTATTCCCCAATATAAAGCTATATTACTCTCTTGTTCAAAATGCTTGAAAAATTCCTATAATCATTCCCCAAACTAAATCTAAAGTGCTTAGCATGTTATGGAAGACCAGTTCTACATCTAGTCCCTACCACCCCTCCCTGAGTATTCCCTTCCTCATCCCTTACCTTCCAGGAAAAGCAAACTGCTGGGAGGTCCATGAGCTTGTAAATGAGTTCCCTTCCCCCATCCCCCTTTCATCCTTCTATTTGTTCTTTCAAGACTCAGTGAAGGCTGAGCAACATTCTCTCTGCGAAGTCCACCTTAGCTCTCCTATATAAAGCTAAGTAGTCCTTCCTCTGTTTCCAAGGTACCTGGTCACACTTACACTACAATGCTTACTATGTGTCCCTCTACTGAACTGGAAGCCTGCTGAGGGCAGGGACCATGTTTTTGTTTTTTAAATAGAAACATGGATGGTACAGATTTTTTGAATAAATTATTCTGTGAGTCCTGTAAACTACTACATTTATATCTCTCATATCTAGGGTAGATCTATAATTAAAGTTATAAATTATAATTTTTAAGACTGGAAAAGTAACTTAAGAGAAGGTCATTTAGTGTCACAGAATGTTCCCAGACAATAGTACACAGAGAGTATGTCATGTTTATTCAGCTTGTAATGAGAGACTTCAACCAGAGCTTATCATTCAAATCTCAATTTATTTCCAAATAACTTGAAGTGGGAAAGATATCTGAAATCCAGTAGGACAGAAGAGTAAAACACTTAGCACCCTTCTGAAATCAACATTAGTAAATAGTTATTAAACCTTTAAGTTCAATGGACTAATCAACTCAACAGTAAAGTTTAAGACTGAACTTTTTCAAGTCCTCCCCCACCCCCACTGGAGAGAGAAAACATGCCACTTCAGAAATCAGAGCCAAGGCCTGGTTTGTTTGTACCATACCAACGACAATAGTTTCTTGCAAATTCAACATACATTTCAAATAATTTATCTCCAGTCAGCTTTGCTAATTACATTATTAACTGATAAAAAAATAAAATAAGCTGTAGCAACTCTAACCTTGCCACATTATGCTCAGGTCAGCTGCACCAACATCAACCACATCCACATGACTCACATGATGCAACAGAGTCTTGCTCTGAGAGCAGCCCCCCATCTAGAAATGAAGATCACCAGCCAAAACAAAAAGATAAATTTGACAGGACACCCTCCCCATCCACATTTTTTTATTTTCAAAACATTTTTCATTTGCAGATAATTAAAGTAAAGTAAATTCCAAAGACTTACTCCAAATTCTGCTTGACTGTAAGATGATTACTATAAAAATTAGAATTTTCTGGGCTCAAAAAAGGGAGAAAGCCTGGAAATATTTTTATTTTTATTTTTTTTGGTAACCAAAGGAGAACGGGTTCTGCATCCTTCATAATGAAGCAATATTTCAAATATTTACATTCCGTTAAAGGTAAAGTTCAGGTACGATTCCAAGAGTATGCATTACGTGTCACAACCTGCAGATAGCTCGGTTTTCTGTCTGTACTTGTAGTCAAATCCCTCTCTGTCTCATGCAGAGTCCCTACACTGGCATTACTGGGAGCAAGCCCATTTAGAACCAGAATATATGCCTTGCTAGGGCAGGGACTTACTTTGGTTTTATTTTTATTTTTTTTAAAGATTTTTATTTATTTATTTGACAGAGAGAGACACAGCGAGAGAGGGAACACAAGCAGGGGGAGTGGGAGAGGGAGAAGCAGGCTCCCCACTGAGCAGGGAGCCCGGGGCTTGATCCCAGAACCCTGGGATCATGATCTGAGCCAGAGGCAGACGCTTAACGACTGAGCTACCCAGGCGCCCCTTACTTTGGTTTTAGATGCATAAAATTCTCCATCTTTGCTAGCTTTCAATTTAAACCTTCAGGTTAAATAAAGTTAAGAACCTTTTCTTTTTTAAAGCCTTCTGGTACATGAGGGTATCAGGACTCCAAATTCTTTTCTTCCAAGTACTAAAAAAGTGAATGTGCAAAGCCATTTGGTCTTCAAGAAAAATAGAAATGTCTCTGGAAATCAAAGTTATATTGACACTGGTTCTGAAGAAGAACACAGCTCTGAGATGGGAGAGCTTTTAATGAGATCCCAGATGAAGCACTAAGCATTTCTTTCAATACTGGTTCACCTCCAAATCACTCAAATATTAAGAATAACAAGAACTCAAATGCATTTACAATGAATTTTGTGATCCTCAGTGGTAATCTGAGGTACAGGAAGAAGGAGGAGTTTCCTCTAATATTTCTCAAGGAAGTAGAAGAACACAAAAAGAAAAAAAAAACAGGAATTCGTATACTGAAATACTCTTCTGTAACACATTTTTATCACATTTCAGCCCTGTTTACTCAGATGCCTGAGGGAGCCTGTTAAGAGAAAAGACAAGACACTTCAAGACTTTCTGGAATTTCCTAAGACTTGGCCTCACCCCACCCCACAAGTGCTCCTTCCTGTCAGCTGACTGTAGTAACTCTCATTAGTGGGACGGCCCCTTGAAATACTCTCCGAGAATCCATAAACTAAATGCATCAACACATACCAGTAAGAGAAAAAGAGTTTAGAGCCTTTAGCCAGTAGTCTGTAGAATTTCTTTCCTCTGGAAAATTATCTTTTCTTTTTTTTAAAAAGATTTTATTTATTTATTTGAGAGAGAGAGAGAAAACAGAAGGGGGGGGGGGGGACAGGCACAGGGAAAGGAAGAGCAGGGAGCCAGATGCAGGGCTCAATCCCAGGACCCTGAGATCATGACCTGAGCCAAAGGCAGACTGTTAAGCAACTGAGCCACCCAGGAGCCCCTCTGGAGAATTTTCTTAAAGGAATAAAGTAAGTGAGGTCCCAATTATCAAGTAAAAAGCAGGATTTCCTGTCCCCCCTAATTTTTAGGAAAAATTCTGTCTAAAAGTTGATTCTCAATACCTTAATTTACCTCATACCTCTCTCAGCCACTTTCTTCAACCTTTGAACTTTGACCTTCCTTCTGACTCTCATCCCTCCAAAGTCAAGGGTAGAGGATGACCTTTAGGGAAAATGGGACTTTGCTGAACTGTGCATATGGCGTAGATAAAACCTAGCCTTAATTTCTCAAAGTACTGAGAGACAACATTTCCTTCTACAGGTAGAAGAAAATAGAAAAAAATGGAGCTCTTTTAAGTAAAATAATACATATAGAAGGAGTTCTTTATATCCAGATTGTGGGATTTCTTTATATTTTCTGTATTTCTAAGCATTCTACAAAAATTACGTGTTACACTTAAAATTAGGAAAAAAAGAAAAGAAAGGATGGGGCGCCTGGGTGGCTCAGTCAGTTAAGTGTCTGCCTTCGGCTCAGGTCAGGATCTTAGGATGCTGGGATCCAGTCCCATCGGGCTCCCTGCTCAGCAAGGAGTCAGCCTCTCCCTCTGTCCCTCCCCCTGCTTGTGCTCTCTCTCTAAAATAAACAAAATCTTAAAAAAAAAGGAGAGGCAATACATCATATTTATTAATACAAATAGATAAAAATGATAAAAACCAAATGCTGAGAAGGTGCTGGAGAATTAAATATGTCCTTAGATTGTGCTAGTGTTATAAAGTAGTATAATTTTTGAGAACCAGCTGAAAATATATAAGAACATGGTTTTTGGGGTTTTTTTTAAGTTTTTTTATGTATTCACTTGAGAGACAGGGAGAGAGAGGGAGAGCAAGAGCGGGGGGGAGGGGCAGAGGGAGAGGGAGAAGCTGATTCTGTGCTGAGCACGGAACCCGATGTGGGGCTTGATCCCAGGACTCTGGGATCATGACCTGAGCCGAAGGCAGACATTTAACAGACTGAGCCACCCAGGCGCCCCAAGAAGAATGTTTAATGAATTATGACTTTTGATCATGAGAACATCACTTCAGTAATATTGCCCTTCCCCCAAAATAACTAAAAACAAAATGTTTCTGCCAAGATGCTTAGAGCTTTTTATTAGACCAGAAAAATATCTAATTATTGGGGCATGATTAAACTATAATGAAATACTACATTGCCATAAAAGGATAACCACATGAACTAGGAAAATACATAGAAAGGTCTATATAAAAAAGACCAAACAAAAGATAAGGCACACAAAAACTGAGCACACAGGGATGAAAACCATGTAAAAACTAATTATGCAATGATAGGATATCATTGTGCACAGTTGTTTCATTCTTTTTTCCTGGTTAAAGTTACTGGTTTTTCCTGGTTTACTTGGCTTTTTCTTTTCTTTTCTTTTCTGGTTTACTGTGTGTGGCAGGGGAGGGAGGAGGGACAAGCTTCTAACTCAAGAGTTTTAGTACAAATCTCTTGCATTCCAATGTATTTCTTCTCTTCACTGCCCTGATGCTTTTAATTCAGTTACAAGACTATAAAATGTGGGAAGAGGGAAGATAGAGAGCTAAAGTCTTTGAGAATACAAAAGTTGATATGTTTAAAATTTTT